AATAAAATTAATAATAAATGGAGTTAGAGCAAATATTTGACAAAAAGAATCAAATGGAAGTAATAAATTGGACTGAATTTGATTAAATATTAATGATGTTAAATGAGTTATTTAAATGCAAAATAACTAGATTTTTCATGTAAAAACTAATTATCTCTAGCTAAAATACACATAAAAATGCTCAAGCTCATATTTATCATTTTAATTAATTTACTTTGACTTAATAGAAATTAAGCACTTATGAAGTAATTGTTTAATAGAGGCAACTATTGTGGTATTATCCTAAAATCTGAAATCCGCCCAGACTTTTTTCGACAGGCCATTTACAGGTCTGTGTTAGGTCCCTATTTTTCTGAATTTCAATCAAAATAAACATAATAAAATATTTTTTACTTTTAATTTTTTAAAAGAGACAAATATTAAACTAATATTTAATAACATAGAAATTAGTGCAAAAATAGCTGGAACAATAATATAAGGAAATTTTGTACTCCAAACTCCTATTTTTAATGAATTTTGCAAAGCATTGTTGAATTGAGGAGACTGAAATTTATAAAAACTGAACTATATTAATTAATAAACTTACAGAAATTAAATTTAAATAATATTTATATGTACATTCAGCAACAATTAATTGATGATTTATATTTATAAATAAAAAATCAAAAATTGTTTTAATATTTAATAAATCTAATAAATTGAATTTAATTGTTAAATTATTATAATCATCTTTAGACGGTGCTATTATATTTAAATAATTACAAATATCTCCATTTTGTAAATATGTTGACAATGATGCAGATAAATTATTATTTAAATTCATTTTAATTTTTTTAAAAATTATATCTTAAATTATAAATATTATATTATTATAATAACATTTATTAGTACGTTTTAAATAATTTGATTAAAAAATTAAAAGCATTTCTTGGTTTTTCTATGAAATAATTATTAAATAAAGTGTAAAAGTGACAATTTATACTTTAACAAAAATTATAAAAAAAATTTTTAAAAATTGGCAGGTGTAGATTTTTAAATATAAACATGTTTGTTATTTTTTAATGCCAAAGTTTAAATAATTCTTATTATATGGAATAAATTTAAATAAATTATTTATAAGATTAAATAAATTTTGCTAACGTCATAAATCAGTTTACCTTTTCTTTATGACATTAAAAAGATTACCGTATTTCCCATATTAGAGCCCCACCCTCTGTAAGAGCCCCACCCTGAAATTTTCAAAAATTCATATCTCCATTGAAAACTATGATTTTTATCTACTGTTTTTTGATTTTAGGCTAGAAAATTGCGTAGAATCAGAATATTTTAACAGTATTAATCTAAAAAATTTATCCGCGAAAATACGGATTTTAAATATCCGGCCAAATCCATAATATCACAAATAGCTTGACGAATTTTGATTTTTGAGAAAAACGCTCAAAAATGTCAAACTAGATTATACAAAAGCTTTCGATTGATATATAAATCAAAATAATGCTATTTATATTTCATTTTTAAATCAAAGTGACCGCGAACTTATGACTCACCCTAATATTACCTGTATTATCATAATAACATTATCTTTAAAGGGTTTATTTTATTTTTACGTTTTAAATAATTTAATTAAAAAATTAAAAGGAATTTTTAGTTTTTCTATAAAATAATAATTAAATTAAGTGTAAAAGTGACACTTTATACTTTAACATAAGTTTTATAAAAAATTTTTAAAAATTGGCAGGTGTAGATTTTTTAAAGATAAACATGTTTGTTACATTTAAAATGTCAAAGTTTAAATAAATAATTCTTATTATATGATATTTCTTATTAACTTTATAATTCTTATTAACTCTTATTAACTTAATAATTCTTATTAACTTTAATAAATTATTCATATGATTAAATAAATTTTGTTAACGTCATTAATCAGTTTACCATTTTCTTTACGACATAAAAAAGATTACGAAATGAAAAATATAATATTGCAAAATAACATGATAACCTTTTATCTAATTAAAATTAAATTTTACTTTCATAATTGTATCAATTAATCTGGAAACCCTCCAAGCAAAAAATATCCCGCTCAAATTTACGCAAGCATACATATCAGCCACTATATTGATACTTTTTGATAATACTTATAAGCCAATATCTTGATTATTCTTGATAAATCTCGAAATACATGAGATCGTTAAAGCGAACATTAAATGTCTGTAAAATTCCTACGATTTTGATATTTTTTCTTCAACAACCAAGAAAAGAAAACAAATTTATTAAAAGTATGAATAAATGGATTAAAATTCAGTTTGAAAGCCTCGACAAAACTACAGCCTAAAAATCAACAAAAAATCAGAAGAAAAAAATCAGAAGAAAAAATCAGAACAAAAAAATCAGAAAAAAATCAGAACAGAAAAATCAGAACAAAAAAATCAGAAAAAAATCAGAACAAAAAAATCAGAAAAAAATCAGAACAAAAAAATCAGAAAAAAATCAGAACAAAAAAATCAGAAAAAAATCAGAACAAAAAAATCAGAAAAAAATCAGAACAAAAAAATCAGAAAAAAATCAGAACAAAAAAATCAGAAAAAAATCAGAACAAAAAAATCAGAAAAAAATCAGAACAAAAAAATCAGAAAAAAATCAGAACAAAAAAATCAGAAAAAAATCAGAACAAAAAAATCAGAAAAAAATCAGAACAAAAAAAATCAGAAAAAAATCAGAACAAAAAAATCAGAAAAAAATCAGAACAAAAAAATCAGAAAATAATCAGAACAAAAAAATCAGAAAAAAATCAGAACAAAAAAATCAGAAAAAAATCAGAACAAAAAAATCAGAAAAAAATCAGAACAAAAAAATCAGAAAAAAATCAGAACAAAAAAATCAGAAAAAAATCAGAACAAAAAAATCAGAAAAAAATCAGAACAAAAAAATCAGAAAAAAATCAGAACAAAAAAATCAGAAAAAAATCAGAACAAAAAAAATCAGAAAAAAATCAGAACAAAAAAATCAGAAAAAAATCAGAACAAAAAAATCAGAAAAAAATCAGAACAAAAAAATCAGAAAAAAATCAGAACAAAAAAATCAGAAAAAAATCAGAACAAAAAAATCAGAAAAAAATCAGAACAAAAAAATCAGAAAAAAATCAGAACAAAAAAATCAGAAAAAAATCAGAACAAAAAAAATCAGAAAAAAATCAGAACAAAAAAATCAGAAAAAAATCAGAACAAAAAAATCAGAAAATAATCAGAACAAAAAAATCAAAACAAAAAAATAAAAATAGATGGAATAGGTTGGATTAATAAAATAAATTTATTTTAAAGGGTTTGTGTGTAGGAATCCTCCCGGACAATTCTTGATCTTGTTCCCGCTAAATCTAAATCGAATGGCTAAGGTACATTGTGACCCCTCTCCTTTTGCACAAAATTTTAGTATACGGATCAAACTAAAATTATAGCATTTTTACATAAAATCGAAGAATTTCATGAAATAAAATATAAAATAAAGAATACAAAATAAAGAATAAATCAAGAGTATTAAAATATATAATTAAACGTATAAAATTAAAATACAAAAATTCAAGTTTGTTTATTATTTATATTATTATTCTTATTGTTCACCTTATCACTTTTAATAAACAATGGCTGGTTTGGTGACACTTTGTTCTTTGGAATTAATTTGCCAAATACTGATTTATATGCATTTCTGTATTCTGAGCTATAAATTTAAAAATAATTTTTATTACAAATTCATTAAAATTAATTTATATAAAATCAAGGTTTTTTGGAAGAAAGCCAGGATGTTGGAATCATGATTACAACGAAAAAAAATAAATTTTAGAAGGGGAGTCTTAATTATAAAATTGAACATTCTTACTTGCAACTAATTAAAATTATGGCATTAATTCCAGCTGTAAATATGTAAATACAAATTATAATAGAACTTGTCAAAGAAAGAACATTGCTAATAATTATAGAAAATTGTTGATTTGACTTTGGAATAAATAAAGATGTCAAAAATATTGTAATTATATTCATTAAAATCATTATATTATTCCTTTCAATAGAAGAAATTAACCATCCGAAAATTAAAATTAAAGAAATAATCAGAACAGAACGAAGAATCCGAAAAGAATTTTTCACAATTGCTTTTATATCTAGAAAATTGGATTTTTTTGTTAAAGTTTTTTAATATTTTAAAGAATTTTGTTTGAATTTTTAATAAAAATATATTCCAAATGTTTAATTTGAACGTATGGAAATGCTTTTGATTAGCAATTATTGTAATTTAAATTATTTTGTATCCCAAGAAATAGTTAAATTTTCTTTACTATTTTTGAATTTTCATTAAATTGTAATATTTTTAATTAGTATTATAACAAAATTAATTAAATGACTATTATATTATTTCTCTCAACAGAAGATATTAACCATACGAAAATTAGTATTAAAGAAATAATCAGATTATTACAGTAAATCAAACTGAAATGATTAAAAACAAACCTTTCTCCGGACGATCATTATTAGGTGAAATTTGATTTTTTTTCTTAAAATATTTTTTCCCAAAGGAAGACCAAATAATTTTACAAAATATTATAAAATAATTGAAAAGAGAAAGTGTTATAATTGTTTTGCTGTAAAAATTACTTAAAAAATCAGAATATAATCCGGAATTACAGTAAATCAAACTAAAAAGATTAAGACAAGATATGATTTTAATTTATTATTATTTTACTTGTCAAAAGTTATATTTATTGTTGTTAAAATATTAAATTGAAAATAAGAAATAATTCCTCCAAAAAATAAACAAATTCCATAAATTATTATATATGAACGAAACATGGTGGAATCAGGAATTACGTGCATTCTGATAAAATAAATTTATTAGTTAAAGTTTGTTAAAAACGATTTCCTTTTGTCGTATCCTCGTGTAAGACATGAAATGGCATGTTTGATAATCCATAAGTGGGTCCACGGGTTCCTCGACTTTCGAGGACGGCGACAACCCTATTCATAAGCCATATTAAATAATTTCAAAAACCTTAAAGGAAATAAAACAATCAACATTCTTTCAAATGAAAGAAAGAAAATAGCCAAAAAAGAAGAATAAGACCCAATAGTTGATATTAAAGATATCCAAAAACATATTTTATAATTAATTGTTGTAATACCAAATAAGAAACAAATAAAATTAATAATAAATGGAGTTAGAGCAAATATTTGACAAAAAGAATCAAATGGAAGTAATAAATTGGACTGAAATTTTATTTAAATAATTCTGATTAAAATATTAAATTATTTAAATGCAAAATAACTAGATTTTTCATGTAAAAACTAATTATCTCTAGCTATAATACACATCAAAATGCTCAAGCTCATATTTATCATTATAATTAATTTACTTTGACTTAATAGAAATTAAGGCTTAATGAAGTAATTGTTTAATAGAGGCAACTATTGTGGTATTATCCTAATATCAGAAATCCGCCCAATTTTTTTCGACAGGCTTTTTACAGGTCTGTGTTAGGTCCCTATTTTTCTGAATTTCAATCTAAATAAACTTTATAAAATATTTTTTACTTTTAATTTTTTGAAAGAGACAAATATTAAACTAATATTTAATAAAGTAGAAATAATTGCAAAAATAGCTGGAACAATAATAAAAGGAAATTTTGTACTCCAAATTCCTATATTTAATGAATTTTGCAAAGCATTGTTGAATTGAGGAGACTGAAATTTATAGAAATTGAAATATATTAATTAATAAACTTACAGAAATTAAATTTAAATAATATTTATATGTACATTCAGCAACAATTTGTTGATGATTTATATTTATAAATAAAAAATCAAAAATTGTTTTATTATTTAAAGAATCTAATATATCGAATTTAAGTGTTAAATTATTTGAATCGTCTTTAGACGGTGCTATTATATTTAAATAATTACAAATATCTCCATTTTGTAAATATGTTGACAATGACGCAGATAAATTATTATTTAAATTCATTTTAATGTTTTAAAAATTATATATTAAATTATAAATATTATTATAATAATATTATCTTTAAAGGATTTATTTTATTCATTTATACCTTTTACGTTTTAAATAATTAAAAATTAAAAGGAATTTTTAGTTTTTCTATGAAATAATAATTAAATAAAGTGTAAAAGTGACAATTTATACTTTAACATAAATTTTATAAAAAAATTTAGAAAAATTGGCAGGTGTAGATTTTCTAGAGATAAACATGTTTGTTACATTTAAATGCCAAAGTTTAAATAAATAATTCTTATTATATGGAATAAACCTTAAATAAATTATTCATAAAATTAAATAAATTTTGTTAACGTCATAAATCAGATTACCTTTTCTTTACAATATTAAAAAGATTACGAAATGACAAGCACATAATATTGCGGAATAACATGATAACCTTTTATCTGATCAAAATTTATTTTTCCTTTCATAATTGAAACAATTAATGTGGAAACCCTTAAAGCAAAACAAAATTATTTAGTATTCAAGACGATACATTCAAATTTCCAGAAGCATATCTAAAGTAATCAAGTATCTTGATTACTTTTTGATAAATCTCGATATACATTGGGATCGTTAAAGCGAACATTAAATGTATGTAAAAGTCCTACAATTTTGATATTTTTTCTCCAACAACCAAAAAAGAAGAAAAAAGAATGAGTGTGATGATAGGTGACCTGAAGAGGAAAATACAGTTTATTTATACAAACGAAAAACTTCTCCCACAATTTCTCATTGTCTTTTCTGTCGTATGACATGAGAGATTTTCATGTAAGGGCAGTAGAGATCGATATTTTCAAAAATCCTGGATCTGGATTCTGGATCTGGATTCAGTTTAGTAACCTGGACAAGATTCTTGATCTGGATCCAGAAAAAATCCAGACTGGATCCAGATCCAGACCGATCTCTAAAGGGCAGCATAAATGCAGAATTCTATTCAAATATTTATTGAAAAACTTTAAGCCGTCAATTAAAATGGCACAGACATTAATTTTGGCAAACAACATCAAATTAAAAAATGTAAAATATTAAAAAATTGGCAGGTGCATATTTATCGAAATAGACATATTTTTGTTTAAAATGTTCTTTTAAAATGGCAAATTGAAATTGTAAATTTAAATATATAAATAATGGTTCTAATTAACTTTATGAGTCCAATCAAAATTTATAAGTCCATAGGAAATTTATGAGTCCAATCATATTTTATTAGATTTTATTAAATATTACATGCATTAATTAATACATTAAAAAAAGAATAGCATTATGATGCTATATGCGCGTCAGCGAGGCGCTTGTGCTGAGTATGCGGCACGCAAGGTGCTTTGCACTAGAGTTAAGCGGTATCGGGATTTAGAGAAAAACCTGGGATCGGGATTTAGGAATGGTGATCCCGATCCCGGATCCCGACACGGGATCGGGATTTGCCGAAATCGGGATCGGGATTTGGAATGGAGATCCCGATCTCGATCCCGAATCGGGACCGGTATTGAAAAATCGGGATCGGGATTTACTAAAAAATTTTTTAAAAACTTTTAAATTTTTATTTTCTTCACATACGACTCAATATAATTCTAAAATTTCTACTGCGGTGCTGAAATAATGAGTTTATGTCTCATAGACGCATGATTTACTTTCCCGTTCAGGGGATTAAGGGAGGATAAGGTATGTAGGGGGAGGGGGATAAAAGGGATTAGGCTTATCCCATTTTAAGCGCCGCAGGCAAAAATTTTGAAAAATTTGGAAGGATTAGGGGCCAGATTTTCTTTTTTTTAAGCGCCGCAGGCAATATTTTTAATTTTGGAAGGTCAAGGGCATTCAAGTTAAACGTTCAAGTCTATACGATTAAGTGCGTTCAAGTCTATACGATTAATGTGGACGATTAAGAGCTGAGTTGAGGGATTAAGTGATATATTCATGTAGTAATATTTCTTAAGCCCTCGATTTCTCTTCAAATCTAACTTGATCCTTTTAAATTCACCGATATCCATCTATACTCCAAATCCACCGATACTCCCCTCAACCCTTCTTGATCCCTCGATATCACACCAAATCACTCAATATTTCGTTAATGTTGTAATGAAGCTTTGTTCATTTTTACGGCGCCGCAGGCAAAAATTTTGAGAATTTTGGATGGCAAGATGCCAAATTTCTTCCATTTTCTGCGCCGCAGGCGAAAATTTTTCTTACTTTCATGCCTCCCCTCTTCTGTTAACTTTATTTTGCAGACTTCTAGTCAATTTATAAAGTCGGGATTTTCATCGGGATCTGATGCACATCCCGATCCCGGATCCCGGCTCGGGATTGAGATTGGCCGGGATCGGGATATATATTTCGGGAGCAGGATCAGAAAAATCGGGATCGGGATTTGAAAAACCCGGGATAATCCCGCCCGATCCCGACCGGGATCCCGATCCCGCTCAACCCTACTTTGCACTTGCAACGTCAAGTGCTTTCAAATAAGCATAAAATAAAATTTTTATTTTACCTTAAGGGGTCGAAAATATTTTTAAAGCGTCTACGTCCGTAGTAATCCGTCCGGAATTTAGCGGGAATCCCCATCGAATGATATTCCAAGGTACAATTATGACCCATCTTTTTTTGCACAAAATTTTTATTGTACTGATCAAAATACAAATTATAGCATACTCACATAAAATCGAAGAATTTTTATGATATAGAAAATAAAGAATGAATCAAGAGTATTAAATCTTAGTGTTTCACCGGAACCGAAATTTTGACCAAAACCGGAACTAGAGTTTCCAGTGAAACACAATTAAATATAAATAATTAAACGTATAAAATCAAAATATCTTAACTAAATATTTACAATAATTCAAGTTTGTTGATTATTTAAATTATTATTTCTATTGTTCCCCTTATCACTTTTAATAAACAATGGCTGGTTTGGTGACACTTTGTTCTTTGGAATTAATTTGCCAAATACTGATTTATATGCCTTTCTGTATTCTGAACTATAAATAAAATTTTTATTAAAAATTCATCAAAATTAATTTAGGTATATAAAATAAAAGTTTTTTGAAAGAAAGCCAGGAAGGTGCATTAATGATTACAAAAAAAATAAAATTTTAGAAGGGGAATTTTAATTATTGAAATTGGGCATTCTTACTTGCAGATAATTAAAATTATAGCATTAATTCCAGCTGTAAATATGTAAATACAAATTATAATAGAACTTGTCAAATTTGTAACATTGGCAGTAATTATATAAAATTGTTGATTAGATTTCGGAATAAAGAAGCCTGCCAAAAATGTTGTAATTATATTTATTAACAATATTATATTATTTCTTGCTATCGAAGAAATTAACCATCCGAAAATTAGAATTAGAGAGATAATCAGAACAGAGCGAAGAATTCGAAAAGAATTTTTCACAATTGCTTTTATATCTAGAAAATTGGATTTTTTTGTTAAACTTTTTTAATATTTTAAAGAATTTTGTATGAATTTTTTCTAAAAATATATTTCAAATGTTTAATTTGAACGTATGGAAATGCTTTTGATTAGCAATTATTGTAATTTAAATTATTTGTATCCCAAGAAATAGTTATATTTCCTTACATACAATTAAATTTTCATTAAATTTTAATATTTTCAATTAGTATTATACCTAATTTAATTAAATGACTATTATATTATTTCTCTCAACAGAAGATATTAACTATCCGAAAATTAGAATTAAAGAAATAATTATTACAGTAAATCAAACTGAAATGATAAAAACAAACCTTTTTCTGGACGATCATTATTCGGAGAAATTTGATTTTTTTTCTTAAAATATTTCTTCCCAAAAGAAGACCAAATAATTTTACAAAATATTATAAAATAATTGAAAACAGAAAGTAAAATAATTATTTTGCTGTAATAATTATTTAATAAATCAGAATATAATCCAGAATTGCAGAAAATCAAACTGAAATGATTAAAAACAAAATTTGGTTTGAATTTATTATTTTACTTGTCAAAAGGTGTATTTAACATTGTTAAAATATTAAATTGAAAATAAGAAATTATTCCTCCAAAAAATAAACAAATTCCATAAATTACTATATATGAACGAAACATTGTGGAATCAGGAATTACATGCATTCTGATAAAATAAATAAAGTAAAGTTAGTTAAAAAAGATTTCTTTTTGTCGCATCCTCATGTTAGCCATGAAATGGCATGTTTGCTTATTCATAAGTGGGTCCACGGGGAAATACTTTCGGGCAGATAGCAAAGGAAACCCCTCAATTCGGGGGCAGCACAATTCTATTCATAAGCCATA